AGCCGCGCCCGCTCCGCCCCGACCCCCACGTGAGTGGCCCGGGAACCCCGGTCCTGGGACCCCCTTCCCTGGGACCCGCTTCTGCCACACCCTGTTCTCATACCCTGGCATCCCTCTGTCCCCCCTCCCTGGCACTGCCATCTTCCTGTTCCCCTGGCACTCCATCCCCAGCATCCCCACGTTACCCCAGTCTCGGAACTCCCATCCCCCGCATCCCCACATTCCTTCAGAACACCTTTTCTCCTTTGGACTCATACTTCCCTGGACCCACAGCACCTCCACCCCACTGCATCCTCTGCATTCTAGCACCTTGTGTCCCCCTGGCAGTCCCTCAGGTGCTCCCGTTCCCTGCATCCTGGCCCCTGGCACCGCTCACTGCCCGACCCCATGTTTTTGAGCTCTCCTGTCTTTTGGCACAGGTTTCCCTGCTGCTTGCAAAGCTCTCTGCCTGTTCTCAGGGTGCCTGCTATGAAATACAAAAAGTGAAAGTAAAATTTGATCCTTGAGCAGAAGCCTATGGAAAACAAAGGATCGCTGATCCTCTCCCTTTCCTGCCTCCAGCTGGAGCTGAAGTCCATTTCCCTTTCCCCAGGCACTCGATTCCTTGTACTTCACCGGCTTTGCAGAGACCAACAGGACCTTTGTGATCGCTCGCCTCGCCAGACGTCCCGCTGGCCTCTGTGAGATGTGGCTCTTCCTGAGGCTGGATGGGATAGGCGAGTTTGAAGTAAGTGCTGGATGTGAGGTGATGTTCAGGTGCTGTGCTTGACTCCTTTCTTCAACCTGTGATGGCATCCCAAGCCAAAATTCATGTTCTCTGCATCTTCACACCAGTAAGACAGCAGTGCTGTGTCTAAATGCAGTGGTAGAAATGGTCACAGTACTGGGTATGTCCCTTTTTCAGTAGGATCTGGCACTCACTCTCCCATAATCTGCACAAAACAGAATAGTTTCTAAAAAGTGGCTTATTAAACCCCCCAGGAAGAATTTGAGCGTCCAATCATTCCAATCAGGTGCAACACATGGTTAATGAGTTCCATTTTCTGCTTATGGCTGGTTTTTTTTTCCCTTTTTTTAATTTTAATGCTATAAAATAATTTGGAATTGCCTCCTTAAAAGAGGAGGGAAAGCTTTTAGGGAGTTTTATGCACATCTGCTTCATTCTTGCTGAAAAGAAAGCTTAATCAAATATTATTAATCAGATTTTTGCCTGTGGATTTTCTTTTTTTGTTAAGAGCTGGCTACATAGTAAAGAAGGAGAGAAGACCTGACATAAATCCCTTTGCACTCAGCTCTTATGTTCACAAATCTGTTTCACTAAGTAGCCATGTCCAGAAAAAGCAGAAAAAATCCTATTTGGAGAATATAGGGGAAAAAAAGAGGATTGATGTGCATTATTTTGGGGTTTTAGTAAAATCTAGTATAGCAAGACTGCTTTGTGGCATCCTCACAATTGAATTAAGTGAATGTTTTCCTGAAATGTTTCCTCTTTTTAGCACCCACAACATCCAAACATGATGGTGAGAGATGAATCCAAAGAGATTTGGAGTGGAGGAGGACTCACTATGGAGTACTTGGAGCCCCAAATGTGCTGGAAGATAAATTTTGATGGATTACTCAGGTATTGCAGCACTCGTAATTTCATTTATCTACACGTAAAACCAAGGCTTTTTCAGCACTATCTGGAAATATATTTAATTTATTTTATATTGAACTGGCTTGAACCAAAAGCTGCTTGGTAACTAAGACACTTTGATTTTTAAGGAATTAAAATATATCTGGTGGTGTAAAGTATTATAGATTCTTCTATTTCACCCAATTCCAAACATGTAAGAAATATGTTGTTTGCTTAGGAGTGATATAAAATTATAGTGCTTTGCCTTGCAGGAAAGGATCCTACAGACAGCAGTGGAGTGAAGAGGAAGGAGAACTTGTACCAGTTAAATTCTCTTTGCAGTAAGTTTTTAATCTTTGCTTTTGGATGCTAAAAAGCTCGTGGCTCATTTAAAATGGCAAAAATCGGAATTTTCCAGAAAAATACAAGGATTTTCTCTGTCAAAGCAGCAAGCGCACAACTTGGCCTAGTATGAGCTGAATGCTAACAATGTCCTTTTTATCTTCTCTCTTTTTCTAGATGGGAGAACTCCACAGACGTTTTTAACTTTAATGTTGACAGCAACCCCAGCACATTTGCTCGTGCTTTAGCCCAGGAGCCGTGGAGCATCGAGCTCTTCCAGAGGGTCAAAAAGTGAGGGGCAAGATGAATGTCTTCTGGGGTTAATAATAATTTTTTCTACAGTTCTCTTCAAGGTTTGATGTGTGTTATAATTGATTTTAGAAGGTAGGTTTAATTTGAAGTGCTCTATTAAAGGACATGGCTCCTGGTTTCAGTGCCACATCACACCTGGGGAATCCAGCAGACAGATGGGATCTTCCTGATATCTGAGTGAAATTCCTTCAGCATCAGGAAGATTTCTTATTCTTTCTTTTTTCATTAATTTAGGCAGCTTCCAAAGTCAATTGTCCAGGTATAGCTAAGAAAAGGAATATAATCCTGTGAGAAAGGAGCTGAAGTGGGTGTTTTAAATACTATACAAGCTCTGGAGAGCTAAAAAGATGAGAATCAACGGTGTGCTGTCTCAACAGAAGCAGAAATTGTGTATTCAATAATGTGGGGGTTTTGGTGATGCCTGCTGAGTTCTAAGCAGCAGCTGCTTGGCATTTCTCCAAACAAAGGGTGATTTTATATTCTGTCAGGGTGAGAATTTGCTGTTGTTTCACTCTCAGGTGTCTCATTATGGAGCAGGAACTGGGAAATGTAGAAGTGATGTGTAAAATCTGGGATAGCCTTGGTCCAGATGCTCTGAAATTTCCTTCATTTTTGGAGACAAATCCATCAGATTGGCACTGAGGCTTCTTGAGGAGAACTGGAGATCTTGCCTGTGCTGATCCACTCCTTTCTTCCAGGCAGAGGGAGCAGCATTTCCGACACGAGCAGTGGGGCCGGTCTGTTGGAGAGATTGAAATAGAAAATTACGGGAAAACTGAACTTTCCCTCAAAGGCATTCGGAGCCACTCCTATGGTAACAGCACTGGAAAGAATTCCCTCCCTTGGGAACACCCTCACTGTGGCTTGCACTGGCAGTGAGATTAAGGATTATCTGTTCAAATAACCAGTTCCATGCCTGGGCATGAAGTTCAGACATTCCAGAGGAAATACCATCGCTGTTTTGGGGACATACCTTACTTACCACGTTATCAGTCACTGGATACTTCTTTATCCAAAAAAGCTTTTGTGAAATCAGGTACTGCTAGTTCACATTTCTCAGGAATGGTGAAACTCCAGGTTGGGGGATTTTGTTCTTTTTTTTGCAGGTGTCCGGAATTGGGCTGAGATTTACCGTTATGTCATGATTTTGGCACACTTTGAAGTAGGTATTAACATGACAATGTGCTATTTAACCAGGAAATTTTTCAGAGCTTCTCAGGCATATTTAAGTATCCAGAAATTAGGACTTGGGAACATCCATGGTGTACAAACAGAAGTGCTCACTGGTGGCACCATTAGCCCAGATCAGTGTTGGGAGCAGCTCTCAAAACTGCTGTGTGAAAACTGAGTGTGTGTGAAAACTGAGATTTTGCTCCAGTGATTGAAGCAAAACTTGTTTGATAGCTTGACACAGTTTGTTTTGGCTTTTTCAAGAAAAATTAGGCAGGCATCTTTACAGGAGATATTCTCAGCTGCTGCAAGTGCCCAGCGCTCTGTGGAGTTGCTGCAGTGCTGATTCCCATGAATAGGAAGCAAGAGGTGTTTGAGGCATTCTAAGCCTTCATGACAGCAGTCAGCAAATATTTCTGCCTGTGCTGAGCCATAACTCTCCTTTTCTGTGTGGGAAGAGGCAGTGCTGTGGCTGCTGGGAGCACACAGCCCAGGGACATGCTGAGGGCTGGCCCTGCCAGCTGCCAGCCGAGCCCAGCAGATGCTCCAGAAAAGACATTTCCTTTGCCAAGCCAGGCATAAATCAACAGTCTCTATTATAGGCAGTGTTGCAGGGGTTTAGACTGAATTCAGAATAAAAGTTCTTTTCCTAGCTTGGAAAATCCCACTTCCGTGCAAACCCTGGTTTATCATGTGCCTGTGAACTTTTTACCAAGACTGAGCTTTGGCACCACAATGTGTATAACCAACCTCTCCCTGTTCTTCAGCTTTTCAAGACTCAAAGTGACTGTGGCTGTTCTGCCCCTAATTAAAAGCCAGCTGACTTCATTAAGAAGTTTATTGCAGATTGGAGTCCTCTTACCCTGAGTGTCTGTACATTTATAACATCACAGGAGGCTTAAATTTGCCTCAGGGTGGCCCAAGTGGAGCATGAAGAGTCCAGACCTAAGGATGGAAGAGAAATTAGTAAAACCAGGAGGTTCCAGTTCCTTCTTAACATTTTCCCTATCTGCTGCTCCCAGACATAGATTAATATGGGTTAGAAGACAAGTCTGGTCAAAGTACATCAGTTTTGTACTTCTTTGCAGGCTTTGTTTCCCTCCTTTGTCCTCTTGCTGTGGGCTTTTTGTAGTTCCCATTGTCCTTAATTTGTCCTGAATGTGTTTGGCTTGTATTCCTGGATTTTTTACAGCCAGATTTTCATGGAAGATGTAGTGAGAGGATTTTAAAGTATGAAGCACATTGCATAAGCTGAATTCTATCCAGTGTCTTCTTGGTCCAGCCAGTGAAGGGCCCTCAGAAATGACTCTGCACAACTTTGGCTGCTTTTTCTCTCTCTTGCAGGATGGGACTGCAGCACATTTAACAGTTATCAGCATGCCAGCTACCACAACTCAGTAAGTGACCAAAGAACTTTATGTTGCTAAAAAACCCCTCATCTTACAGGTGGCAAGAGCTGCTGTGCAGGACACCTGTGTGCAAATTCTTGCTTTGAACCTGTACAGCCCAATTTCCATCCACACCCTCATGCTCCCAGTTTTTCATTTGCAGTTAGTCACAAGGACAGCTTTTAGCTTCCACTGCTTCCTTTCCCTTCAGTTGCTGAGGGCTGGTGGAGCTGCCTGTCTGTCTGGATGGTTTAGAGGTACAAAGTGGGCACTTCCAGCAGCTTGAGAAGGTGTGTCTGACTCTAGTCTGCATTCCACAGGGAGCCCTGCCTTGCTGACTGGTGTTCTCTGCATCCAGAGGATTAAAGACCAATGTCCATGGCCCCTAGGTTGCTCCAAGCCCCATCCATCCTTGGACACTTCCAGAGATGGGGCAGTCACAGTTTCTCTGGTCAACCTGTGCCAGGGCTTCACCATCCTCACAGAGAAGAATTTCTTCCCAATATCTCATCTAACCCTGCCCTCTGCAGTGGAAGCATTTCCCCTTATCCTGGCATTCCAGGCCCTTTTCCAAAGTCCCTCTTCAGCTCTCTTGGAAGTTCCCAGAGCCTTCTCTTCAGGCAGAACGATCCTAATTATCTCTGCCATTGTTCTGGTGCGTTTGAGTTTTGGCTGAACTTTAAACCTGCTCCATTCCTCTCCCCTTCAGCCTCACTGTAGGTTATGTGTTTTTTCCTGATGGGAGGAAGGCTGGCATTGAGTGGTCCAACGCCTCCCTGGCTGAGCTGGCTGAGGATGGGGTAATCCAAGATGGCTATGGGGTCACTTTCACTGCTGGTAAGCTCAACACAGTCCAGCTACACCTGCCTTCATTTCTTGGCACGCAATTCCTTTAGTGGAGGAAAGACTGTTCAGTGAGATTCCATGTGATCCTGGGGAATGCATCATCTTACACCCCGAGAAATCTACCTAGAACCAGAAATTCATGGTTTGGGTTGGAAGGGACTTGAAGATCCTCTGGTTCCAACCCCACTGCCATGGGCACTTCCCTGTTTAAATTAAATTGTAGGTGTGGTGTGTCCTGGGTGAAATGTGCCCACTGCAGGATCAGGGCCAGAGGTTCCTGAGGGAGGGCTACAGATTGTTTGTGGTGACTGTTGTTTGTGCTAATCCACGTAAAATAGTGATTTCCACTTTTTTGGCGTGTAAAAACATCTGCTATGAGGTGGATTCAGCTGGAAATATGATTGATCAATTTGCTTGATTTACAAAGCAGACAGAACTATCACTCTTCAGAAAAACATAAAACCCCCCCCATACATAAAAGCAATAGATATTGGGATTTTTTTTTGAGATAAAATACTACTGAAAGTTGTTGACTTTGTTCCCTTTTTCTCTTCTCCAAGGTGGTGAGAGCTTTGATGTTTCTGCAGCTCTGGATAAGCAGACCTGTCCTGTGGTGTACAATGGCCTGACAGGGAGTGGAGTTTTCCACGAGTGCATTGCAGATTTCCAGCTCAATGGCTTAACCCCAGGCTGGGGCCTGGTTGAATTTTATTACAGGTAAAATAATGACAGGCAAGAAGAGGTAAAAAACTCCCATCCTCCTATATTGACTTGTGTATATATATTCAAATATGTAACTCCATACATATTTGAAGCATAAATGCACTGATATTTTTACCTGATGTAAAAAAATGTTGCTCATTTTAGTGCTTAATGTAATTATTAAGTTGTCAAGCATCCTGTATATTATTTGAAAAGGAATAATTGCCCAAGCACTTCATGGGTGCAACAATTTGTTTGTTATATAGGTTTATGTGGGCTTTATATAGGTCTCCATATAGGTTTATGGGTTGTAGGATGCTCCATTCTGGACACTCTCTTATTTAGGAAATCTGTCCCATTATAGAAATGAAGAGTCCTCACCCCAAAGAGAAGCTGTTTACAGGGTGAAACTCGCTCTCTCAAGGATTTGTGTGGACAGGATTTATTTGAAAAGATAAATGTTCAGAAAATCCCCACAGGAATGGCTCTGTTAGGGGCAAAATTATATCCACAAAGAATGTGCTTCCCTTCTCAGTGCTGTTCCTCCTGCCACATGATTGTCACTCTTTCCCTGGAGCCTTTTCCACGTGGAGTCTTTGCTCTCATGAAAGAAAGAGGCACATTTTGTTATTTGCATTTAGTTTGCTTTTTAAAATAAACACCAGCCCTTGGCTGTCAGAGGAAACGCCATAAATGACTTTAAGGAGATGGAGAGCTCAGCTCCTTCCAAAAAACAGGCATATTTAAAGCACATAAAACAGGCCAAAAGTGCAAAGTACCTGCTGGTTGAACTCGAACCTGCAGCTGCTGCCAGGTGCCTGCTCCCTCCTCTGGGGCTGTCCAAACCTGCCTGGTGGAGGAAATGACCCAGCAGGGAAAGCCTGGGATCAAACCCAAACAGGGCACGTTCCGCAAGTCTGGACAGACCCGGCTGGCTCTGGAGCTGCCCCAGGGAGCTTCATCTGACTGTGCTGACACAATTCCCATCGGCTCCATCTCATATCTGCTCCCAAATCAACCCCATGGGAGAAATGAAAGGGTGGGGGTGTTGTTCTTCCTCCTTGCCACGAGACACCAACTCAGCATCGCTGCTCTTCCCGCAGGGACGAGGCCGCCCAGCCGGCTCCAAATCTGCAGCTTGGTTCCAAAACAGAAGGACCTGACCCTACCACCAATGCCTCTCCCCCATGATCATCTATCTACAAGCTCATCCCAGCAATGTTAGCAAGCAGCAGCTTTCCAAAAAAATATCATTCCCCGCAAAAAACAGCACTGGTTTGAGTGTAGAACTCGTCACAGGACGCTGGGGAGGTCAAGGGTATAAAAGGACTTGGAGAGAAATGAGATATATTTTTATTAGTGCAGCTTTCAGTGGTTGCTAAGCAGGGTGGTCTGGAGGAAATTTGAAGGAAGTCTGATTGCAGGAGTGCACTGGGAGGGATCACTCCATGCTCTGTCCTGTGGTGTTTTTCCTAAACTTCCAGCTGCTCCCCACCGTGACGACCAGGACCTCAGGCTATGTGGATCACTGACCCAATTTAGCAGCTTCTCTCTGCTCTCAGATTTGTTTTTGAAATAAAAACTGTGTAGTTCTGAACTCTCTGGTTGTTACAGTCATTAAAACGTGGGAAAAACCTGTTACAGGAAACGGCATTGATTTGATAGTTTTGTCTGTGCCTGGGTAAAACATGAAGTGGAAGGAGCAGGAAAAAGCACTGCTAAATGAGGTGTCCTCTAAGAATAGAATTAATGGCCAAGAATAAGTGGTACAAACACGATTTTCCCTTGTCTGAAGGAAAGCCAGGGTCTGGTAATCCAGTTTAGAAAGGGATCTGAATTCCTCATCATTCCCTTGTAGGTGCCTTATTAACCACAGCATCCACAGCAGTCCCTGGCACAAGGTAGCCTATCCCTACCTAGATGCATCTTGCCATTCATTACTGAAAATTAAACATATTTAAAATATGCAGAAAAAAAAAATAAAATAGTTAAGTGGAAAGTGTGGAGAGGAGAAATAAAGAAAAGACACCTTTTAATTAGAATAGTACCACAATTCTATTTCAGAAAATAGTGAAATCTGGGTGCACATCTTTGTGTTTCTATAATCCCTGCTTAGGCATAGAGGAGACTTTAACAGAATATAAATTTTTTTCCTTTCTGAAGCACTTCTTACACTTATTGCTACAACAGCTTTTTTTATGCAGGATGGGTGCATGAATATAAAATGATTCCACCTGTATTTATGACATGGCCTGTCCCGATTTGGGATGTGTCACTGAACAAGGCTGGGGTGCTGCAAGCCTGATGTGCTGTAACAGGCTGATTTTATCAGCTGTGACAGATTCCCATTCCCTACTTCCCTAATTCCCTAATTTCTAACCTCATACCTGTTCTGCACTTGAGCTGCACCCCAACAGGTGCAGGTGCTGTGCCCCTCCTTCCATCCCAAACCACCTCAGGATGAGCCAAGCTGACTTCTGGGTGCATTTCTTTTGGGATGGCATTGATCCAGAGCTTTGGATTTTAGCTGGACCTCTATAAACACTTCTCCAGTTACAGTGGTATTAAGAGCCGCATTCTTGTGAGCCTTGCACAAACCCAGAGATGCCTTAAATCTGTCTGTGCTCTCGTGGTCTCGAGGTGCTGAAACAGGGAGCTTCTAAATTACTCCAGACAATGGTGCTTTGACAGGAGGGAAGGCCTTATGCCTCTTTTTACACCTCAGAAATCAGTCAAATAGGTAATTTTAGAAAGGTTAGAAAAATAACCATGTTATACATCACAGTTTGTTCCTATTAAGTGTGTGGCTTGTTTTGCTATGATCTCAGGAACATCTGTTCCTTTTTTTCTGTGGAGTTCTTGTCATCTCTTTCCCTTTCACTTATTTCTTCAAGGCTAAAACATTAACATTTAGAAGGTGAAAGACTGGCACATAATAAAGCAAGGCTTTGGAGGTGTCAGAGCATGTAGATGATGAGAAAAATTAATTATGACTCTGGAATCGTGGTTTGAGAAATCACTGTAAAAAAATTCTCTGTCCAGGCCAAAAATTTTTTTAAAAAATCCCATCAAGGAAGGGATTGATCTGGCCATTTCCCAATTCCAGAAACTGGGCTTAGAAGTAGGAATGCTGTGGGGAAAAGGCAGGTGTCCCCCCAAATTATTGGAAGTTCATGTTGCTGCAGTGGAGGAGGCAGAGATGAAGCCTTCATCACTCTCCTTTCGTCCTCCACTTGTTTCTTTTGGTACCAGTGGGTGGAGAATTAGAGCACTCCTGAGATCACTTGGGAAAAGTTCAAGCAGGGTACAGCGAATGATTAATAAAGTTTGGAGCTGGCAGGTTTATTTGCCAGGTGATGAACTACTGGTAGGGTATTTCAGCTCCAAGGACTGAAAAAAATTGACTGTCGGGGGGTTTTCTCCCTGGATTTCAAATTACTTTATAGCAAGCCTGTGTCCAGGACACATGGAATAACTTATTTAATTTAAAATAAATCTCCCAAGCCCCACGCTTTGACCATATGAAGTGGTCCTTCACTTGCGGCTCCTTTCTCAGTGGAAAAATTCATCTTGGGAAGTACTTCTGCAGCCCAAAAGCATTAATTTTGAGCCAAAAACACAATAAATGGAGGTGAGCCCTGGCCAGAAGTGAAATGCAGCATATGATCTGCATGAAGGGGGGCAGCTGCAGCCTCGCTGGGATGAGCTGCTTTCCCAGCATCTGGGAGGAGGGAACACCTGTAATTCCTGCTGCTGTCACAGCAAAATGCTCCCACCAAACCCTTGCACGTCCCCCTGGGGCTCCCTGCATGCTGAATTTCGGGATTCAGGCCTTGTAAAGAGGTCATTTAAAGGCTGTCAGCCCCAAACTGAGCATTTCCCATCAATCTGCCCCTGGCTACTGATGTCTAGAATGGTAAATATTTTACCGTGCTTATTTGTTCTCCTTCCTTCTCGCAATTTTTCATGTGTTCACAGCATAGCTATAAAGGCCATTTTCAGTGACATTGTATTTCACTGGCAGAAAGAAAGGAAGAAAAAAAGTCCCTTTTTCAGTTTGGATTTATGTTGTAGCTTTACAGTTGGTGAAGCAGAAGTGTAGCCCAGGGAGCTCTGTAATTTATCAATGCACTGTATGGCCAAATTATCTCTGCAAAGCAACTGATTATTTCAAAAGTGGACTTTTCCCTCCATAAAAAAAGTGCTCAGCAGCCAAATAACTCAAAGACATTCCAGCCAGAGTGACTGATAGCTACTCACTCCCTTCTCCCATTTACTGGAACCCCAACTCCCTCGCATCTGCCATAAAAACTCACATTGCTCTTTCTCCATCCAAAATTGCTCTTCCCTAAAAATGTGACTTTTTTATTGTTGCTCTCCCAACAATCTCTGAGCTCAGGTGTCTGAAGCAAAGTCTCCAAAGGGATCTGTCCTGGGGAGCTTTTTGGGCCCCCCCTTTTGAGGTATTTTCCTCTCCTCATTAAAGCTGTAATTAGTTACTGCATTGATTTTTGCTTTTCTTCAGCATAAAACAACTTTTATTAAACCATAGTGCAAGTGAAGTTCATTCTAATCTGGCCATAAAATTTTACGAGAGGTGTAAATCAAAGGGAGGAGTGGCAGCAAATGCTCTGGAACAGTTGAGCCCTGTTCAGGCTCCCTCAGTGGAGTTAAATCCCTCCAGGAGCAATTAGCCTAACGAGCTGCTTGGTCCTCTTATAAATAACGTCACTGATGGAGACATCTGGAGGTGTCTGCTCTGTGCACCAGAGACTTTCCAAATAAAAAGTGGTGAATGACCCTTTTTTTGATTCATCCACAGGGTGGGAGTGGAGGTGCAGATCTGACAAGTCACGTTTTTATCCCATTTTCCAGGAAAGATAAAGAAGGGAAAGCAGGAGTGACATTCTCAGCTGGAATGTCCTCTTTCATTTCTTGGCAGCTGAGCAGGGGACAGCGCGTCTGAAGCGCTGACCCCAAATTCATTGGTCAAAGAAGCCCAGAAATGGCCCTGGGCACAATAAACCTGGAGAGGGCTCATGGCTGAGGCCCTTGTCACAGTCCTTGGGACATCAGAGACTGGCAAGGGACTTCTGGCTGCTGTAGGTGTTAGAAATGGGTTTGCAGAAGGAGACCCAGATGATGGCTGATCATTTTTTCCTTTTGCAAAATGCTACAAATTAGGCACACTTGATACCTTTTGAATAACCTTTTTTAACCTTCAAACCTCTCTTATGGATTTAGCACAGGAAATTCCACTGTTTGTTGCTTTTGCTGTCACTCCTAAATGCCCTTTGAGAGAGGGTTAGGTAATTGGTTCATAAAGAATGAAAGAAATTAATTATAAAATCAGGCTTAAGAATATTAAATAGTGTTTTGCAGAGGTGAGGAGCAGGAAAAGCTGTGAGGTTACACACTGGGCTGTGCTGCTGGTTGTCTTTACTAAAGCATCCAGATCCCAGTGTTTCCTTTCCCACTCTTGTTCCTGCTGTTATTTTAAGGCACGTAGGCTTCTCCCACATGTTTATAAGCTGATAAAACCATAATGCCAGGAATGTTTTCCTTCCTCTATTCCATTAGCAAAATAATTGACTTTGCAGATACAGCCTCGTTTACCCTGCTTTCCACACCAAAACAATAGCTGTGAATAAATGTCATAATTCATGGAGAGGTGAGAAAAGAGGAGTTTCTCGGCCTAAATGCTGATGTAAGAGCTGTGCATCTCCGTGTAGATGAGAAATGTTCTGCTCTGCTGTCACACTGGTGCCACAGCGCTGCTTTTCTGGGCTGGCAACCCTCAGTGGTGACAGCAGGGCTGACATAATGTTCAGCCCAAATACCTGAATAAATCCCAGCAGACACTGCTGAGCCCTAATTCATAATTGGACATGTCAGGCAGCTTCTGACGACACGGGCTGGACTCCCAGCAGGGCAGAGCAGCCACACAAAATGCTTTTCATCATGCAGGAGGAGGATTTTAGCTGATCTCTTTGGAGATTTTCCCAAAGCCATAAATATGCTCCTCTTGATCTGCAGTGCACTCGGAGGAGCCGTGAGCTGTGTGAGGCTTTCAGAACAAACACCAGCACAGGGGAGTTCTGGGGATGGGGAAGAGCCTTGAGCCATCACCGCCAATTACACCAAACTCCCCAAATACATAAAGCATTTCATCAAGGGAGATCAAAGTGCCTTTCATGGGAAGGAAGAGCTATGATCTGCCTTTTACCCACGGGAAAACTCTGGGGAAGAGGCTGTCTGGCCAATTCTATAGCAGCATTCTTTAACTGTTAACCCGAGAGCTTGCTTTCTGCTCCTCGCAGCTTCCGTGCGCCCTCGCGGCCTCTCCTGGGCTCTGCCCAGACCTACAGCAGCCTTTCAGCTTTTTGGGGTGGGACACAGGGCAGGAAAGATGAAAAAAGGGTGGAAAGTCCACAAAAAACCCCAAATACGGTCAAACCTGTAAATGAAACCTGGCAGCACCCGCTGTAGGTACCTGGTAATGCTCCATGTAAATGCTGTGCAAGCACCCCCAGTAAAATGGTTAAAACTGTGAATGCAAAAAGTGGTGCTGGATGTGTTGGACAATGAAGAGGCCTCAGTTTTAATGCACATTATGAATATGCCAGGATGACAATCCCAAGGTTTTCC